ACAGGGTCATGATCCGAGAGGGCCACTCGAGACCTCGGGCGTCTGTGCCAGACGTCCATGTCCCGAAGAAACTGGGCGGCCTCGGGCTCCGGGCCTCTCAGTAAGAACCTCCATGACTTTCGACTCGCCGCTCAGCCGGAGGCTGGCCCCTCGCCCCGGCTCGGCGAGGCCATCCCATTGCTGCGGATGGCCCTGGCCATGGAGTTCGCCAAGCGCTCCAGGTCCTCCTCGCTCAGGTCTGGACGCCTTGCAATCGTGCTGATCATGTTTAAGCTGCGCTCGCTCATCCAGGCCTGCTGCCGCACGGTGGGCGTGACCTCCGAGCGCGCCTTCATCATCTCCTCCTGCGCCACGGGCCCCATGCCCGACGGGAGATTGGGCGGGGCCCCCTTGAACGTCGGAAGGGGGGGGCGACGGAGCGTAGCCCGTGATCCCCGCATGCGGATCCGTGTCTGGAGCCGCCTTGTAGGGCGCGTGCCCCGAGCTCACCGGCGCGCGAAGGTTGAGAGGCGCCGCTGGAGCCCCCGCCGCCGCCTTGACCAGCGCCCCGCCCTCGAACATCTCGCGCTCGATCCCGCCGATTTTCCAGAACTGCTCGACGGCGGGGCCGAGGCCTTCGAAGTCGCCTTGGGGGGGGGCGGCCTCGCGCACAGGGGCCTCCCGGGGCCGCGTCCGTCTTGCACTGCTGCGCGCGCAGCTCGACCAGCTTCTCGATGTCCTTGCGCACCTGGGCGCCATTGGCTCTCGCGAGCTTCTTGGCCTGGGCCGCGGCCTTCTCCTCGGGAGTCTTCTGCCGGCGTGCCAGGCGCGTGCTGCGCGTGCGACAGTATAGGCGCACGCGGCGCGGCCGTTCGCCCTGGGCCACTGGGCCCACGGCGGGTGGGGACATGTGTCGATGTTCTCCTCGCCCCTCTGCATCGCGCTCGGCGCCGCCCCGGCCACGCCCCTCGCGGTCTCCGCTGCGAAAGCGGCTCCCATCAACTTCAGCACCGCGGATCTCCAGCGCATCGTCTGGGGTTCCAGGCGGAGGCATCCCTTGTCGAACAACAGCCGCTCGTGCTCGCTCATCCCACATCGCCCATCGAGCTGCGGCCGATGGGCCCCCACACGCTTGCACAGCCTCCCGCCCCCGCGCCCGGGGGATCCCCCTGGCAGTCCTCCTTCAGCGAGGCAACTGGTGTCCGACACTTGGATTGGCTGAGGAGGCTCGACGCTCCTTCTTGGGCTTGATCACCTTCTTCTCCTTCGCGGCGGCGCGAACTGGACAGGCGGTTCAAAAAGGCGGGCGCCTCGGCCTGAGCCAAGCGAACTACTGGCCGACTCGAATAGACCCCGCTGCCCCTCACGCGGCCCGGCCCCTCGGAAGAACCGACTCGGAGGTGAAGGGGCAGGGGGGGGGGGACTGATTGCACTGCCCAGCCACCGCGGGCCCCGACGAACTGGGAAGCGCTCCGTCGGAAGTGCGTCGCGTACCTCGTCGCTCACCTGGAAGTCCTCGGGGTCAGAATGCACTAGCCCGATGCGCCGGCCCCCGGGCAAGTGGCGACGCATGGGCCTGACCGTGCGACAACCGTGATCATCCACCTCTATCGCGTTGTTGCAGAGGTCGACCTTCGCACCAATCATTTCCAGCGGTTGGCCGGCACCAGGAACTCCACGAAGCCGAAACCCGCCAGTGAGACCGGGGCCCAAGCTTCGCCGATAGGCTCGGCTTTCCCCTCGACCCCGCCGGCCACCTGGTGGATGACGCCCCTTATTTTCACGTGCTCTCGGAAGCCCTTCTCCGCGATGGAGCGGCGCGACTGATCAAGATCGCCTGGCCGGCGGCAGCGTCAATCATAGCATGGTCCATCGTGTTCTTCAAGCTGAGGCTGCGGTGAATGTCTCCAGGATCGGATCCAAACCATCAAACTCGAGAAATGAAACGCGCTACCATCGCCCTCGTTCGTCGTATCCTCGTTCACAATGAAATGCGAGACAGAAGCCCCCTTTCCTCCAGACGGCGTCGATTTCTTCTCTGAGGCCACTCCATCTTCACGGGAACGGTACGGTTTTCGGCAATTATCGGGCCAATGTCCCTTGACCCTACAGTTCGCACATCTAGATCGGCGTTTCAGGTCACCGGAAGCACTTCGCTTGTACCCTGATATGCTGGCCCGAATCTTGTCGAAAAAGTCACGTTCGATACGCTTCTCTGCTTGTATGGCCTCTGTCCACGTGCGTCTCTTGTCTTTCCCCAACTTCTCTTCTATGACTGCTGCCAACACTATCGTCAACTCATCCTCCGGTAGCTCCTGCTCCTCTAGCGCGGACAGGAATGCCTCAGCCTCTTCCTCTGGCAGCTCGAACGTATCGTCGGGAGGCTCGGCAAAAAATGAACTCGCATCCAAGGGGCCAGCAGAAGCAAAAGACGAGCCCTCGGAAACACCAACTTCCGCCGCGAAGGTCTTTGCGCTCAGCGCCTGAAAAGTTGGCAGCACCCCCTTTTCCCGAATGTCAAGCTTCAGAAATGCGTCCAGGATCGATATGTGATCAAGCTTACCCCCTGCTAGTGTGCGCATATCGATCTTGTTCTGAGGACTCAAGTTAGCACCCTCTTCGAGCACCCTCGCGAGCACGGGATCGGGAAGCTGCAGATCGTGTTCTTCAGCCTCGCCGATATGGGTGTCCCGCCTGAGCACACTCTGTGATCGGTTCTCCACGATGCAACGAGTAATCGAATAGAACGGCTCCCACAGCCTCCCTGTTAGTATCCCCAGGCCTCTCGCCGTTGAGAATCCAGAAGTGTTCAACCGAACGATGGAGCCCGTCGTCCTGGTCGAGCTCTCCTGAGAGCCTTAGGCTTGAGCTGGATATCCAATGGCATCGTCTCGGCTCTTGCCGGCTCTCTGAATAGGTTTCTAGCCAGCGCGTGCAGCCCAGGAACAATTCCAAGCTTTCGAATATCAACCACTGTGGCCGAGGCCCGTAGTCCCTATTCAGAAGAGACGAGATTGAGTGTCTGCGCCAGCCGTTTGAGTAGTCCCAATATTACCACCGACTCCAGTCATTCGCAGTCAAGTCGTCCCATCTCTCGCTGGCCCAGAATATTCATGCCATTATGTCGTTGCTGCTCTGTGTCTGCTGCTCTCTGCGTGCCTTTTCTACTGCTCCTCGCTCTCGTGGCCCTCCCTGCTCTCCACCACCGGACGCTCCGATTACCACTGTTTCAGACTCGGACGGCATGAGGGAGGATCGGACTGGCAAGAGGGGAGATCTTTCAATACATAGGGAGCCCAGCGAACGTGCTCGCGTCTCTAAGCCCAAGGCTGGATACGGGCATGGGAGCACACAGGAGAACGAGCGGGGCCGAAGAGGGGAAAGGGGGGGGAAACCCTGGGGGCCTCCCAGGGCCGACGGGGACATCAGGTTGATCCGTGGCGTTGGAATCCCGAGCGCAATGTTTTGGCGTGCTTCAGGGTCTTCAAGGGGTTGTATTCCAACGATGCATTTCCCTCATTGGAAATGAACATGTAGGGGCCTACGAGGTAGCTTAGAGGGAGGGTTTATTCCATCATCGTTGATGACCCTTGGGTTTACACTGGTCCTCCTCCTCCTCCTCCTCCTCCTCCTCCTCCTCCTCCACTCCTCCTCCTCCTCCTCGTCTTCCTCCTCCTCCTCCTCTCGATGTTTCCTCCCTCTCCGCGTGTTCACCGAAGGTCTTCCTCAACGACTGTGGGAATGCATGTTCCAATAGCTTGGACGAGCTCTGGCCACAACGTCCGGCCACATGGGCGATTCCAAAAGGCAGGGGCGGCGGTAATTCGCCGTAGGCGACTTCGATCCGCCGCCCAAAGTGGCTTCCTAAATGGCCAAAGAGGGTCCAAAATGCGTCCAAGTCCGCCCAAGACTCCTCCAAGACGGCCCAAGCCGGACCAAGAGGCCCCCAAGAGGTCTCCAAGACGACTCAAAAGGCCCCCAAGAGGTCCCCCAGGAGGGCTGGAAGAGGCCAACATCACTGATGTCCCTCATGTTTTGCAAGGATGTTGCCCTTTGCTTCTTTTTGGGCCTTCCGACGGCCCAAGACGGCCCAAGAGCTCCCCAAGATGGCCCAAAAGGCCTCCAAGATGACCCCGTGACGCCCCAAGAAGCCCTCCAAGACGGCCCCAAGAGGGCCCCAAGACGACCAAAGAGTCCTCCAAGACGCCCAAGATGGCCTCCAAGACGGCCCTGAATCGCCCCAAGAGGGCCCCAAGTCCGTTCAGAGAGCCATCCCAGACGGCTTCCGACAGCGTCGGACGGGCCAGAAACGCCCTAAGACGTCCCAAGAGGCCCCCAAGATCGCCCCAAGATGGCCCCAAAGGCCTCTATGATGACCCTGTGACGCCCCAAGAAGCCCTCCAAGACGGCCCCAAGAGGGCCTCAAGACGACCAAAGAGTCCTCTAAGACGCCCAAGATGGCCTCCAAGACGGCCTCCAAGACGGCCCTGAATCGCCCCAAGAGGGCCCCAAGTCCGTTCAGAGAGCCATCCCAGACGGCTTCCGACAGCGTCAGGCAGGAACGCCCTGAGACGGCCCAAGAGGCCCCAAAGAAGCCCCACAACGCCCCCAAGAGGTCCAAGGAGGCTTCCAAGAGGGCTCCAGAAGGCCCGCAGGAAGCTTCAAGGAGGCCCCAAGTGTTCTCCTCCTCCTCCTCCTCAGCCTCCTCCGCCTGCTCTTCCTCCTCGTCCTCCTCCTCCTCCTGCACAACCTCATCCGCCTGCTCCTCCTCCTCCTCATCCTCATCCTCCTTCTTCATCTCCTCCTCCTCCTCCGCCTCCTCCTCCTCCTCACTATTTGTCCTCCCTCTCCTCCGCTTCTTCTTCCCCCCCCCGCGTGATCCCGGAAGGGTTTCCACAACGGCTGGGGGAACACATGGTCCGATGGCTTGGCAGAGCCCTGGCCACAACGTTCGGCCACATGGGCGATTCCAAATTGCAGGGGCGGCGGTGATTCGCCATCGGCGTCTTCGATAATCTGAGTCGAGAGAACGATCTACGGTATGCCCATCGACGAAGCGCTGCTTCTGCAAAGAGCCGAGAAACATGTCAAATTCTGCGACAGCCCCTGCACCTATGACTGCGGAGCATAAGTGCGCGCTATCAGGCTGAGCCAGCTTGCTTCCAATGGCTACAGGTGCCGATTGCAAGGAATTCAACGTGATACTACGAATGGCATTGAATGATCGATTGTACTCCCCCGTTGGGGTCAGCTTCGAGTGCTGGTTGCCCCCCTCGTGCATGATGGGCAGAAACAGCACCAGACACAGGGCAACGGGCACCACCGCGAGAAAACGCCTCACGGGCTTGCCGAGAAGCCCCTGCGCCGTTTCAGCCGGCGCCACATCACGCAGTGCTTCAGTGTCTTTTTCCGCGAGAAGGAAATCGTCAGAGTCATGCTCCTCAGACGGTGACTCGGATTGGCAAATACATCGGTCGCGCCCTGACCAATACATTGGGCCAATATGATCTAGCCCGAGTGGCTACGGAACCAAAGAAGCCGCAGACCTAACCGAGACTGGGGCGCAGTAGACCGATCCAGCAAGACAAGTGAAAGCGCGCTCCCCTGAGAGGGCACGCGATCGCTGGCTTGTCATGCCTTGAGCCCTCTTGGGCCCCTCTCTCTCTCCCTCTCTCTATCCATCTCTCTCTACCCCTCCCTCTCAATATCTCTCGCTCCGTCTCTCTTTGACTCTCTTTTTCTCCCTCCCTCTCTCTCTCTCTCTCCCTCCCTCGGATTTATATGATATATCTTTCTCCATCCTCTTTACCTACTCTCCCTCTTTCACCCTTTCTCTCTGTGTATACCCTTACGCTTAGGTGCTGGTCGAATGCAATCGCGCGCTTAACGCGCGACTGCCTTTCCCTTTATTAACCCGGAAATGTCATCGCCTTCATTCTCCTCCACCTCTACTACTGGTACCACTATTGCTCCTTCTGACAGATACAGCGAACTACGACTTTGACTATCACCATCACCACTGCTATTGTGATGCTGATATTAACACGACTTCTGATACTGCTGCTGCTGCTGCTACTTCTGCTCCCACGTTCCCTCCCTCCTTCTTTCCCACGAAAAGGGAAAGAGGAGTAGGAAGAGGAGGGAGGAGGATGGAGAGGATGAGGAGGAGGATTGAGGCAGACAGAGAGGTGATGAAACATGGAGGCGGGAGGGCGGCAGAGGAAGAAGGACGGACGAGGACCAGGAGGAGAAGGAGGGAGGACAACGAGGAGGGTGTTCACGAGAACGAAGGCAGAGGAAGAGGAGGAGCGAGGAGCGAGGAGCGAGGGTGGAGGAGGGAGAGAGGAGGGAGGAGGTGGACGCTGGCGGAGGAGAGAGTTGGGAGGCCGAGGAAGCGGCGGACGAGTAGAGAAGGATGCGGAGGAAGCATATCTGAGGTGGATGAAGATCAGCAGTAACAGAAAGAGGGGTGCGGAAGTTGGAATCCGGAGCATGGGGGAGAAGATAACTCAGGAACAAACAGAAAGGGAGGAAGGCGGGGAGAGGAGAAAACAGGGAGGGTGGTGGAGGGATGATCGGTGAGAGAAAGGACTCGTGCGGCGTGGGATAACTCCGCCGCCCCCTTACTCTTGTCCGCAACTGCGGGGGGCTATGGTATAGTCTGATCCTGGACAAGACTTGCACACATCAACGATACGGCATGGATGGAGATGCAGAGCTCGGTGATCAATTGTATACTCACCTAACTTGTCGTTCAAGCAGACCCACATGCGTGCATGTGCTCGCACATCCGCCACCGTACCTGCACGGACTGGGCGTGCTAGAATGCTCGTCTGTTGTCTGGAAGGTTTCTTCAGCCTTTCAAGGGCCGACACCCCTCGTAGCGCGCCCCCCTAGATACCCCCACCCCTTGAAGTTGCCTCCCGGTGCTTTATTTAGGCTCCCAGACGGCCAAGATGGCCTCCAAGACTGCTTCCAAGACAGCCAAGATGACATCAAGATGACCTACGATGGCCCACGACGGCCCAAGAGGTTCTCCAATGTCCTCAAGGTGGCTCGAGAGGCTTCCAAAACGGCCCAAGAGGCCTCCGAGAGGCAGAGAGGTCCTCGTGGAGAGGCTGAGGAGGCGAAGAACAATGATATCACTTAGGTTCTTCACTGATTCTGGAATTCTCACATGCTTGGACTTCCACATCTACATGCCCAAAAGGGGGGGGGGGGCTCAGCTACCCTTGAACCTCCCCTGCCGCAAGCCCCCCCTCTTTTTTTCCGCCCCCCGGAAGCTACCCCTCCAAGATAGCTCCAAGACAGGCCATGAGGCCTCCAAAGCAGGCCCCAAGTCTGGCCACGAAAGCCCCAAGATCACCCACGACCCTCCCAAGAGGGCCCCAAGATCGCCCTTCAGCGCTCCAAGAGGACACCAAGATTGCCCAGGGAGGCCCCAAAGACTGCCTCCGAAGGCGTCAGACGTACCAAGAGCCCCCCAAGACGGCGCAAGAGGCCCCAAGAGGCGCCCCAAAACGGCCCCTGACAGGCACCACGGACCCCCACAGAGGCCCTCAACAGGCCCCAGCTCCCCAAGAGGCCCCCCAAAAGCTCCAAGAGTCGCTAAAACAGCCCCCAAGAGGTGTCAAAACTGCTTCCGCAAAACACCCTGCAAGCCGCTTGGCCCCCCGTGACTAGTACGGTGACAGTCAGAGAATCACAATGTGTATATATATATATATATATATATTTATACATATGTATATATACACTTATACACATCTGTAATACATGCAATCATGTGTATATATATATATATATATGTGTATATATATGTGCACATAGTCATATATATATATATATATATATATATCCATTATTGCGCATCGAAGGTTGGCGGGTAAGATCGAAGTGGAACGGAGAGCCCCGCGACCGGGAAATCGATTTCGGTTTCGTGCTCGTGCCGTGCGTGCGGGCGAGGCGAAGCTGCGTGGGCGGGGGAAAGGAAATCCTCCTGTGGCTGGGCCGCGGCTGTCCCGGCGGTGACCCGCTGGTGTCCCGCTGGTGTCCCGCCGGTGTCCCGTCGTGGATGGGCCGCGGCCGGACCAAAAAGTTCTCCGCCCGGCAATCGGTGGCGCGCGGTGTCCCGCTGGTGTCCCGCTGGTGTCCCGCTGGTGTCCCACCGGTGTCCCGTCGTTGTCCCGTGGTGTCCCGTGGTGAGATCGACAGTAAGACCGATAATGAGATCGATAGTGAGATCTATAGTGAGAGATCGATAATGAGATCTATAGTGAGATAGATCTGGATATCGATAGTAAGATCGATAGTGAGATCGATAGAGTGGGATCGATCGCGAGATCGATAGTGAGATCGATCGTGAGATGAATAGTGAGACCGATAGTGAGATAGAGAGATGTCCCGCGGTGTCCCGTGGTGTCCAGTGGTGGCCCGTGGTGTCCAGGGGTGTTCCGTTAAGTGAGGTCGATGGTGAGATCGACAGTGAGATCGACAAGCGTCCCGTGGTGTCCCATGGTGTCCCGTTGAGTGAGATCGATCGTAAGATCGATTGAGTCAGATGTTAGTTACCCCCCTCTCCCCCCCCCACAATCTCCTTATCACCCGAAGGGTGGTTGTATAGGTACATATGTATCATTTCCACTTGGGGAGATCTACGTGTACACGTATGCATGCCTACATACATGTGCGCTGTCGTGGCCACAGAGGGGGGGCCAGAAACGCAGTGAAGGGCTCGCGAGTGCCGAAAGACTTGGATAGGAGACGGCATGGAGGACACGGCAGAATGTGGAACGGCGACTTGGGCTTACCAATGACCGTGCCTGTGGGACTATGGAAGGAGCCATGTGAGGGCATTGGGGGGCCTCGGGACCATGTCGCAGCGGGGCTCGACTATCTCGACGCTGAAATTGTTTTTGCCGCCGTACGCTCTTGGGAGGCCTCGCGTTCTGAGTTGTAACGTCACGTACGCAGACCTTATTGGAGCCTCCCGGAGCCTTCTGAGGGCCTCTGTGGGACGCGGTGCAGTCCCGTTATGGCTTGGGCCCGTCTTGGGTTATGTTCGGGCTCCTGCCCCGTTTTGGGCCTGCCTTGGAAGCCTTTTCGGGCGTTGTCGAACTTCTGTGGGGTCCTTGCCGGATCTTGGACCTCTTGGGGCTTCCTGAGGGCCTCTTGGGGGCCTCTCGGGGCCTCTTATCCACTGTCATTCCCAAACCGCTTGTTGCTGGGCCGCGCGGCCCGCCTCGGTCCCTGGAGCATATGGCGCCTGGGCAGCGGGAGCTGCAGAGCGCGATGGCCGCCGCCCGCGGCGCGGCGCTGGCGACACACGCGGCCTCGGGCCTCGCGCGGAGCGCAGCCGCGGCGTGCCGCCTGCCGCGCACGGCCGAGGGCCTGTGCCGCGCTGCTGTGGCGGAGCTGGAGGCGTGTCAGCCTCCGCAGACCGCCGCGGCGGCTGCTGGAGGTGCTGCGGAGCCGCCTGCGGCTCCCGCGGCGCCTGCGGCGCCTGGCGGAAGAGGTGGTGATGGTGTTTGACCTGGTGGCGGCGCGGACCCTGCGGTGCGGGCTGCGCGGCGTGCGGCTGCCAGGCTGCCAGGGCAACTGCCGACCCGTCGGCGATCGCGGTGCCCCAAGTCGGCCCAGAGAGGGCCCCAAGTCGGCCCAGGGAGGCCCCCAAGACGGCTTCCGACGGCGTCAGACGGGCCAGGGGCCCACCAAGACGGCCGTAGATGGGCCTAAGATGGCCCAAGACGGCCCAAGAGGCCTCCAAGAGGGCATCCAGGAAAGCCCGAAAAGGCCAAAATCATTGATTCCCGCTCAATGCTTGAAAGATGTGGCATTTGCTTTTTTCCGGCCTTCCGACGGCCCGAGACGGCCCAAGTGCCCCCAAAGATCGCCCAAGAGGCCCAAGACGGCCCCAAGCGGCCCCCAAGACGGCCCAAGAGGCCTCCAAGACGCTCAAGATGGCCTCCAAGACGGCCCAAGAGCCCTCCGAGACGTCCTCCAAGAAGGCCCGAAAGTGTCAAAATGGCCTCCAGGCGGCCAAGATGACCTTCAAGATGCCCACGTATTCCCCGAAGGCTTTCCAAACCGATTCGGGGAACTCATGGTCCGATAGCTTGGCAGGTCTGGCCTCAACGTTCGGCCACATATGCGCTTCCAACAAGGCAGGGGGCGGCGGTGATTCGCCGTAGGCGTCTTCGATCCGCCGCCCCCTGTGCTTGCCACAGGGGTGCCCTGCGTGCTAGACCCTTTCGGCTTTGGTTCTTTACGAACTCTCCCTGGGCCTTCGGCCCGTCCCACCGGCCACCGGGAGAAGTGCATGAAAGGTGGCTGCAAACGGTGTTTCGCCTCCAGACGCCTCCGAGATGGCCCAAGCTGGCCTCCAAGATACCTCCAAGATGGCCTCCAAGATGGCCTGAGAGGGTGCAAGATACTTCCAGATACGCCCAAGAAGCTTTCAAGACGGCCCAAAACTGCCCAAGAGGTGTCCCAGAGGCCTCCAAGACGGCCCAAGAGGCCTCCGAGAGGTCCTCCAGGAGGGCCCGAAGATGCTAAAATCATCGATTGTCCCTA